AATGAAAGGGTCTCAAACTGCAAATGTAGATATCAAAACAATAATGGAGAGATTAAAAAGAATTGAAGAGACACAAGAAGAAACTAGGAAGGAGTTGATATCTGAGATAACAGTAATAAAGAACACTGTGAATGAAATAAATAACAAACTGATAAGCATGGAGAGCAGAATTACCCAAGCAGAAGAAAGAATCTCAGAGCTTGAGGAACAAAATAGAGAAATAACCCAAACTCTTAAAAACACAGAAAATAAGCTCAAAAAGACAGAACAAAACCTTCAAGAGATGAGTGACTACCTCAAGAGGCCTAACCTAAGAGTAATCAGACTCCCTGAGGCAGAAAGAGAAACACAGACCACACTGGAGCAAACTTTCCATGAGATCATCCAAGAAAACTTCCCTTATCTAATCAGTGATGCAAAAATTCAAACACAAGAGATTCAGAGAATCCCTGCAAGGCAACAAATGAGAAGACCAACTCCTAGACACAAAATAATTTGCCTAAATAAAGTAGGCACAAAAGAAAAAATCCTAAAGGCAGTAAGAGAAAAGGCCAGATCACCTACCATGGAAGACCAATCAGAATAGCAGCAGATTTATCGGCAGAAACCCTGCAGGCTAGGAGAGCTTGGAGCCCTATCTTCAAAGTCCTAAAAGATAAACAATTTCAACCAAGAATAACCTACCCAGCCAAGCTAAGCTTCATCAGTGAGGGAGAATTAAAATCTTTCCCAGATATCCAATCCCTAAGAACTTACGCTGCCACCAAACCATCTCTACATGAAACACTTAAGAAAGTACTAAACACAGAAGAAAAGGAAAAAAGACAACGTTCTTCACAAGAGTACAGGAAAAGAATAAAATATACATGAACCAACCCCAAACCAAAAGAAAGACAAAAAAGAAAAAGAAAAAACCAAGAAAAAAGAAAAAAACAAGTGGAAGAACAACAAATCAATAAGAACTCCATGATAGGGACGAACTCTCACATTTCAATAATTCGTCTGAATGTGAATGGACTAAACGCACCACTGAAAAGACATAGAATGACAAAATGGATAAAATATCACCAGGCAACAATATACTGCCTTCAAGAGACCCATCTCACTAGAAAGGACATACACAGATTCAAAGTAAGAGGATGGGAAACAAATTTTCAGGCGAATGGAACACAAAAAAGAAAGGAGGAGTCGCGATCCTAATTTCAGACAAAATACCATTTAAGCTATCAAAAATTAAAAAAGATACAGAGGGCCACTACATAGTGATAAAATGTTCACTCCATCAACAAGAAATATCTATCCTAAACATATATGCACCCAACATAGGTGTGCCAACATTCATAAAGCAACTTCTAGGAAAACTAAAGAAAGACATTGACTCTAGCA